TATTTCATTAAATTCTTCCCTGCCCGTTCACTTGGTTGGGTTTTTTTGTTGTGTTTTGTTTACACCCTTAGCAAGGTCCCTTCTCTTCTCCCCTTGGACAGAAGGGATCTGAGCTGCAAGGACTCCTGCACAGTCACCTTCCCCACGGCAGCTGGATGGAGGATGTTGTCTCCCCTTTCTTCCCCTGGGCGCTTTGGTGCTGTACATCCTCCTCTTGGCCCCATGCAGCAGCTGGGACGTGGTGTGGCTGGAGGACACGGCCATCGGTCGCCCTTCGTGACTCCTGACCGTGTGGCAGCTCACAGCTCAGACATCAGCACCGGGAAATTCATGTGATGCTTTGTGTCTAAATGAAGCTGTCGGGGCTCTGGGCTACACATCTATTAATTTAAACAGCAGTCTGTAATAGCTGTGTTAAACCTGCGTGGTAAATTTGGAAGGGCTAATGAAGCCATGGAAATACTCCAGAATGGCCCAGCCCTTGCTGTCTCCGAATAATGTCACGCTGCTGCTCTAAGCTCTGAGCCTGCCTCTCCGCTAAATCCCACCGCTTCGGGGACCACAGCCGTGCCGTGCCAAGCAGCTCCGACTCGTGCTGTTGGCTCCCGTGCTCTGCAGAGAGGGCTCTGCTTTTAGCACAGCTGAGCTTTCCAGATTGGAGACCAGCCATCCACCCACGCGATGCAGAGACCCCTCCTTGATCTGCTTGGCCTTGCTCAGCTGTGCAGTCTCTTTTTGGGCTGTCGCGGATCATTTTTTAAGTTGTGTGCAAGTATCGTGTGACATTGTACCCAGAGAACAATGTGGGACGGATTGACAAGGGCAGAAGAGCTCAGGCTGGGAGTCTGCAGCGCGATCTCGTGTTAATCCACCGGCGAAAGGCGCTTGTAATGAGGTGACTCGTTACGTGACACAGTGGAAGGTTGGATGTGTTGGGTGGGAGAGAGGGACTGAGATCTCTTTTTAAGAGTCTTTGTAAGCTGTGCAGACTGCTGTGTCTTCACTTGTGTGGTGGGCTCCGGACACGGGCTGTAAGCACCTTGTTGGCAGCTTTTGGCATCATCTTGGACATTTGAGGTGGCTTCTGAAGGTATCTTATTTCCAGGGATGTCTTTGCTTCCATTTCAGAGGAAGTTTCTGCATTTCCTGTATCCAGGGGAAAAAAAAAATACGTATTTCTCATTCTCCCTGTTCTGAGCTATTTAAAATAGAGACCTTGCAGGGCTCTGTATCAGTTTTTGTCTGTGGGGACTGGCAGTGCTCTGTGGCATTACAGGGCTGTTCAGCACTGACAGGACACAGAAAAGCTTCCCTTTCAGGGGTAAGGAAACCTGGGAATTTGGCACCGTACGATGGCCTGGATGTCGCTATGGCAGGCAGATTCCAGCTGCCTTCAGCGTGGGCTACCTGAGGCATTTGGGCTATCACCTCCTTTCCCTTCTCATGCTGCCCTGGGCAGTTTTGCTGCAGGCAGTGATTGCAAAATCCCACAAAAGCAGAGGTGTGTTTCAGGCAGCAGGCTCTGAACCGCAGAATTCCTAAGAGACCCCAAGAGTCTTTTGGCCGTGAGCTGCTGGGATGTGCACATCAGAGCGTTGATGCAATGTGCTCCTGCCGAGCTTGGCTGCTGCGTCCAGCGGTGTCCTGCTGATCAGAGGTTAACTCTGAGGGTACACCACACCGGCCTGTTTCTGAGTGAGAGCGATGTCGGTGATCGTGGTGTCTGGATCTGACAGGAAAAGGTGAGCGCAGGAGTCTGGGTCTGTACCTCGTGAGCTGCTGGCTCGGTGCTCCTTGCAGAGTAGACTTGCAAGAGAGATCCCAAATGTTGAGGGTTAATGCAAGTCCCTGGCGAAAGCCGCTCCCAGCAGGTCTTGCTATAGGTAGCGTAGAATTGCACAGAGGGTCTAGCCCTATTTTCCCCCTCCCTGCATGAGCAGAAATAGCTCTGAAAGCATGGAAAAGGCATTTAGATGTCTCCAGTCCTTGGCTTTGTCTTTCTGCAAGGGTATTTGTAGCTGATGTAATGGATCTCTCCAGAAGAGTGTCTAAATACGCGCTCTGTTTGCAGCCTCTGTGGAGCTACTGAGAGTAATGTGGAGTCACGGCGAGTGTGTGGGATTGCATTTGGAATAAAGGAGGAGTAAACGCTTGACAGGTCTACACGACACTGTGTGCTGCTGAACACAGCAATTAAACAAGAGCTGCTTTGCCTGTCACGGGGAGGGGATGAAGCAGGCTTCAGTCCTGCTTTGTTCTTCTAGGAAACCGCCTATTAATATCTGTCCTCCTGAGAAAACTTCCCCGAGTGATGAGAGAGATAAGGACAAACCTACACATGCACGCGAGAAAGGAGGTTTCATAACAGGGAATGTCTTTACTGTCAACCTCCTTTGATTGCTCTCAAATCTTTCCTTGCAGATCCCACCACAGCCCCGGCGTGCTGCTCCTGTCACCCCCCCACCTCCAGAGAAACGCAAGAACGTGCAGATTTCTGCTCCTGTCAAAAGTAAGGACAAACTGTCCAGATCTCGGACACAAAATGGACATGGGCCGTATGTCATGGTGCCCAGACGCTTTTGCTTTGTGCTTAGGAGGGCATCCTTGTATGTATCTTAAACTCCTGTAGGTTTTATAGCCTTCTAAATACATAGCTGTATTTAGATAGATAGATAGATAGATAGATAGATAGATAGATATCTCCTAAGTTCCTGTAGGTTTTAATCTAACTATCATGAGCTAGTGGCCAGTGCTCCTCTACGTCCTCTCAGATCAAGGAGGGGCTGGGCAGCCTGGTGCCTGCAGATGGATGCCAGGTACAGCAGCATCCTGCTCCTCCAGTGCCTGTGGCCCTGGGAAACATGGTGTTCTTCTCAGAGCAAACTCTGTGGCAGCACACAGCCTTGGTGGTTTAAGATCCTTGTGGGTGTTCTACTCCCACAGACACCATGGCCACCTCTCGGCAAGGCAGAGGGAGTGTTCCCTGGTAGTGCAGAGTGAGGTTCTTCCCCAGGGGGAGCTCACTGGTAGCACTTTTAGGACAGGTCCAAGTCTGCTTTTGGCTCCCAGTCTGTCAGATGCTTTCTTTGTATGACGCTCAGATGATTTCATGGAGATTTCCATAAAATGGGTTGCTGGTGTCTGTAAGCAGCAGAAATAGTACCAGGGCAAGCCGTGTATGTGCTGCCCACAGGCAGGAGAGCTGCTGGTTGTGAACACTTCAGAGCAGAGCAGGACCGTGGGGCCAAGCCAGGAGCTTCTCCATCTCCAGCGTGGTTGGGCTGGCAGAGGCAGTGGTCGTCCTGCTGAGCTGCTGTCAGCTTGCCCAAGTGCTGTCCTGTGCCATGGCAGTCACGCTGTGGGTGACACACAGCCCATCTCAGGCCCGCTCGTGTCCCCTCGTGAGAAGTAGTTAATTGAAACCAGCTTGCTTCATGGTATTGAGCCATTTTTCATTGCAGAAGTGGGAATTCACAAAGGTCACTTTCCTTCAACTCCTTATCTTCGTTTAATGAAGCATGGTGGGAGGAGGAAAAAAGAGGGATGCTGAACCTTCACATGTCTGTCCTGCTGGCCCTTCTTTTGGTATGGGGGAAACTGCCTTTCTGGAGAGCTGGGCTCCCTGTGGGTGTGCTCCTTCTCTTCCAGCACCAGCTGGAAGCTCCAGATGAAGGTAGCCCAGAGTTTCCCCAGGTAACTGTTTTCATAGTCAGGGAAGGACTCGGATACATTTCTGCCCCCTAGAAACGAATGGATAAGGTTTACCAAAAGTATACCTTAGACCAGGTTAAAGGAGAGAAACATCTTAACATCTCTATTTGTAGTGGATTTTTTTCCTTGGAAGATGGGACAGCTGCCATCACTAGAGCTAGTCCAAACTGGGGGCATGGGGAGAAACACAGACAACGTGGAGGCTTGTGAAGACAGTCGATGCTCTCGGTGCTCATGACCAAATGCTGGAGAGCGCTGAAGGGGCGAGACCAGAGGTGTTGGCAGCCAAGTGTTTCCTGCACCATCAGTGCTAACCGTGGTGTGCAGTTGGTGAGATCGGTGCAAGAGGGAGGCGCGGGCTGCTGTGTGGAGCCTTCGGTGTCTGGCAGTTCTCAGGCACCGTCATTCAAAAGGGAGAGCTCAGATCCTGAGTGTAGCAAAAGGCCAAGGGGAATAGACTTTTCTGCCCCTTAGTCCTGTCCCTCCCTCCCTCTCTTCACCTGCATAAAACACTAAGGCCTTTGAAGGTTATTCATCTCAATAGAGCAGTTTTCCCATTTCTAAAGAGGTGATTGTGCGGGAATGCTCCGGAGAGAACTGCTACAATTTTGCTTTGAGATAAGTGAGGCAGGAAGAGGAGTTTAACTTCTCTGGTCGCATGCACAATGAGCCTTTTAATGGACTGCTCTGCAGGAATTTGTGTTTTTTTTTTTCTTTTTTCCTTTGATGCTGTTGCTAAGGCATTTTTAATTGTTCCCTTTCAGACACTATTGAAATTATCCCAGGGTCAGCTTCTAGTGCCTCCTCTGTAAGCACGACATCCCTGGATACCCTGTACACCGCTTCTTCTGCATCGGAGACCGCTCTCCCGACGGCCACTTCCAGTCCTGCCAACACCCCATCCCACCCCCCGTCCCGAGCCGCAGCGTCCACACCACGATAACGCGTAATTTGGATGCTGGCTCCATGACCCACTCCCGCTACGGGACTTCCCCAAAGGATGGGGCCAGTAAATCTCCCCAGTCCAAGAGGGCTGCCCCGGCACTGCCGGCTGAAGGGGGGACCCAGAGGTCCCACGCCATGGATGGGGAGAAGACCTCTCAGGTGAAGAAGGCGGCCCCAGCCACCCCTGCAGGCCTGGACGCCTTCAGCTCCCTCTGCCTGGAGGATAAGAAGGCAGCTATGGTGGAGGCGGTGCCAGCAGAGCCCGGGGAGCTGGTGGTGCCTGTGCCCAAGACAATAGGGGCCGAACTGATCGAGCTGGTGCGTAGGAACACCCACCTCAGCTACGAGCTGTCCCGTGTGGCCATCGGCGTGGTCATCGGCCACATCCAGACCTCCATCCCAGCAACCAGCAGCATCATGGAGCAGATCCTCATCTCCGTGGTGGAGAGTAAGGTAACGCATGCAGGGCTGGGTGGGGGGGGCTGCTGCAAACCACCTCCTGGCATCGGGCAGAAGGTGTTGGGAGCTCTGCTAACATTTGGGATGAGAAGCACAATGAGATCCTAAAGGGGGAAGGGGAGGGATGCTAGAGGGGGAAATGTCTGGTCAAAGGAACCAGGGGTTTACACCAGGTGCGGTGGAAAGGTGGGTGTCTCTGAGACTGCGGTTTTGGATGACGGGGTGGACGGCAGTGACTTGAACCGCATGAGCACATCAGGTGGGAGGTGACAGCCTTCCAGGTCCCAAGGACAGCACTGGCAACGAAGCAGCAGTGCGAATGGAGGCAGCGGGACTTGAGGCTCACTGAGGAGCTGCGACACAAGTTGTTGACCAGGGATTGTGAAGGCTCGTGGAGAACCATTGTGGCAGCATAGAATCAGAGAATGAAATGGTAGTGGCTTCTGAAGAGGTGGTTTCCGTTATGAATGCGACAAACGGAGGCTGAGGAAAATGGAGCCTTTGCAGCAAGTGCTTCTTTGTAGGAACCTTTTATAAAATAATGCATTCTATAAACTCGTTTTCTTCTGTGATGCTGCACATCCTCTATAGATTCAGCATGCCTATACATACCGTAAATCTGCACAGATCTTTGTCTCTTGACAATGGAGCACCCAAAACTTCTGTATGTCTGGCCTGATCTTTCATCACAGTGACAAAAACTGGTTTTCCATAGATGTGAACCTCTCTGTTACTCTGTAGCACACGCATCAGCCCTGCTTTTTAAAAAAAAAACAACTGAAGAGTAGTTTTTCATCCACTGGAGAAAGAACATTATCTGGAGCTTTTTCTAAATAAACCTTACGCCAAAACGATCGTATGTTCCTCCTTCCTCTGCTGCAGATACACAAGGAAAGAAATAAAAGGATGCTGCTTGCAGCAGTCGTTGAAATGGTGAAGTGCACCTGGGCAGCCCTGTGCTTTAGTTAGAGGGATAATACATTTCAGCTCCCGCTTGCTGAATAGAGCCCCAAGGCGTTCGTTTCATTTAAGCATCTAAGATTGGAGTTCCATTGCTAATGGCAAGATTATAATGAACTGTTCAGAGGCATTTGAATATGGAAAACTAATGGCATTCAGATTTTAGATCAAATTGTAATCTGGTTAACTGTCTGCGCTGAATAGAGGGTCCTGTAAGCAATCATCAGGTCTTGGTTTGTGGCCATAACCCAGCGGTTAATTGCTTCCTACTTCAATAACAATGCCGTGTCGATGTGCCTTCTAGATTCAGCAGAAAAATTTAGCTGTCTCCAGCAAACGCTTTGGCTCTGACTCACATGCTAAGAAGTGCAGTTTTCTGTTATTTGCACCTTGGACAAGATTCGAATATTATTTTTATCTTTAATACCTGTTCTTAGGATACAATAATCTTAATTCCACAGAAGTCATTTAGTGCCAGGTTTCTGCAGAGGGGATTTGAAAACCTCAATTTCATGGCCATTGCTGCAGACCAGCCTGAAAAAAGATGGGAAGAAATTATGATGCTGGTGCAGGGACAAGTGTGGATCTACCTGTAACTGGTATCTGTCATCCAGGACACCAGCAGGACTTAAAACACCTGGTCCAGGATGGAGACATGGCAGAAGGTCCTGTCCTATCTCATAATATCTCATGTCTATGGTGTACTTAAGGGGTGCTGCTTTTGGAAGAAGAGCGTGAGTGGCCTTGCACAGTGCTCAGGTGTAACTGCTGGGGTTGTGGTGTGTGTTTTTCGTGGATGTCCCATGCAGAAGGGCTACAAAGATGATGGAGGGAGTGGAGCATCTCCCTTATGAGGAGCGGCTGAGGGAGCTGGGGCTCTTTAGTTTGCAGAAGAGGAGACTGAGGGGAGACCTCATTCATGTTTATAAATATTTAAAGGGTGAGTGTCACGAGGATGGAGCCAGGCTCTTCTCGGTGACAAACAATGATAGGACAAGGGGTAACGGACACAAACTGGAACACAGGAGGTTCCACTGAAATTGGAGAAGAAACTTCTTCTCAGTGAGGGTGACAGAGCCCTGGCCCAGGCTGCCCAGAGACGTTGGGGAGTCTCCTTCTCTGCAGACATTCAAAACCCGCCTGGACGCCTTCCTGTGTAACCTCATCTGGGTGTTCCTGCTCCGGCAGGGGGATTGGACTGGATGAGCTTTTGAGGTCCCTTCCAAGCCCTGATGGTCTGTTCTGTGAAGATGTGGCTCTGCTGATGTGTGGGCGCCTGGTTCCAGGTGAGGGTGTTCACCTGGTGCAGACCGGCTCTGGCAGCTGAGAGGGCAGTCACGAGCAGCTGGGGGTGGCTGTGCTGCCGTAGCTTCACTAGCGCGGTTTAATGGTACAAGTGATTATCACTGACAAACAAAATGATTTGTTTGTAACAGATCATTCCACAGTCTCATGGGTTTCTGCGTAGACTTGTTGCTGAGTTGTCAGTTCTGTCAAGGGCTTTTTTGTCCTTTAATTTGTAGCTTCTGAAATCCCTCTGCACCCCAGTCCATGCAAATGCGTGGTCACTTCTTCTATTGCATATTTTATAAGGTTTTTCTTCCACCTCCTAAAACAGAGTGAGAGATCAGCTTTCATTTAAAGCTTTGGTTTGCTCGTTCAACGTTTTGTATAGCGTTCTTTAATTAGTTGTGGCCTTTCTATTCCTATTCTGGATTTAGTTTTAAGTAGGATCACCAGTTTACAAAGCCAATTCCAGAATCCATTGCCTCACTTCTATCCCCAGCACCTCCTGAAGGCTGAATTGCGGTGGGACTTCTCTCTCATTTCCCTTGCTGCTCCTCCAACGTGGAGTCTGCTCAGGCACCTGTTTGCACGAGAGCAAAAGACCCTTCTGCTGGGACAGCATCGTGCTCCTGCTTTTGGAGAGGTAACATAGGGCTGCGCTGGGAGAACAGCAAAGAGGAGGCTGCTGAGATGCTCACACCTTGAGAAAGATGCTTCAGAGGTACCGTACTGCTTGGGGAAGCCTGATCTGCAGGAGCAAATGTTCTGAGTTGGCTTTCCCGTGTCAGGATTGGGCCTGGCCTTGGACACGGCCCCTCTTCTTGTCCTTGAAGCCGGTTCCTGATGAGTGGGCAAGGTCCACAAATGGTTCTTCTTTTCAAAGGTGTTGCTGCAGTGTCCATCTAAACCGGAGCTGGTTTTCAAGCACCTAAAGCATCACTCAGATTAATAAGTACCAGGGATATATGACTGTCTGCAGCTCTGTTGAATTATCTCCCATCTGAGAGGAAAGGTTAGCACCAAAAACATCTTGTCTAGGAAGGTCGATTTGAGGGTTTATTAAACTAGGTGTGAGGCCAGAAAAATTGCCTAATATGCAGGCTAGCTACACCTTAAGAGGGAGCACTTAGAAATCACTTAACGGCTTTTTATTAAATTAGCATTCCAGTGTTCTGCTTGTGACTCAGACCCATCTCTGGTTGCCTTAAATATAAGCTCAAAAACTGCTGATAAAGGTCTGTAATTCAATTTGGTGTTGTAGATCAGCCCAGACTCCTGGGTGGGGTTGAATGGTTCTTGGATGTGTTGGAGATGGAGGAACAAGTTAGGAAGTGGGTGTGGGAGGTAACGTTTCTGGAGGGGGTTTCTCCTGTAGCCTGGGCTGTGCCCAGCTCCCAGCTGCCCGTCAGCAGCGCGTGTTGTCCCCAGTGACCCCTGACAAACCTCGTCACTTATGTGGCGAAGCTCCCTCTGCTTTCCCTGAATCCTCGTGGGCTGCCTGTCGCATGCAGGTCCTATTCATTCATTGATGGGGCTCTGCTGAAAGGAGAATGGCTTTTGACAAGACACAAATGCTGCTCTGGGGCTCAGCTTTTCCCTGCGGGAGCTTTGTCCCTCTGCTCACCCAAACAACAGGAAGGTCGGCAGGGTGAGTGCTTTCAAGGCTGGCTCCTTTGGCTCGGCTGTTAGAGTGCTCTGTACGACTCCTCCTCAGTGAAATACGGGCAGAAATGTGAATCTGGAAGGTGGGAGGGCATGCATTAGTGCTTAGGCAAGCTCTTTGCTCACTAATTGCTAGAGGAGCCTTTATGAAGGTCTGTGCCGGAGTCTTTGCGTGCAGCCATCTCAGTTTGGCTGTAGATGGGCCATGCGCATCCAGAGCGAGCCGCTGCTGCCTGTGTCTGCGGAGCAAATGTGCCCGGGGCTGCAGATGGCCGGGACACCTGGGAAGTGAGGGCTGCAGAGCCCTCACTGAGGCATAGCGAACGTGGTGCTTGAGAGCCAAGTGCCCTCCTCTGCCCGTGACACACTGTGGGTCTGTGCATGGCAGGCATTGCTCCCTGCAGAGCTGACTTGCCCCGTGATGGTGCTGTAGATGGTGCTGTGGTGAGAACAGTTTGCTGCCCCAGAGGAGGGGCGATTTCCCCCCAAAACGTGTGTAAAATCCCACTGTAGAGTTTATCACGGGATCACAGACTGTTAGGGATTGGAAGGGACCTCCAAAGCTCATCCAGTCCAATCCCTGCCGGAGCAGGAACACCCAGATGAGGTTGCACAGGAAGGCGTCCAGGCGGGTTTTGAATGTCTGCAGAGAAGGAGACTCCACAACCTCTCTGGGCAGCCTGGGCCAGGGCTCTGTCACCCTCACTGAGAAGAAGTTTCTTCTCCAATTTCAGTGGAACCTCCTGTGTTCCAGTTTGTGTCCATTACCCCTTGTCCTATCATTGTTTGTCACCGAGAAGAGCCTGGCTCCATCCTCGTGACACTCACCCTTTAAATATTTATAAACATGAATGAGGTCTCCCCTCAGTCTCCTCTTCTGCAAACTAAAGAGCCCCAGCTCCCTCAGCCGCTCCTCATAAGGGAGATGCTCCACTCCCTTGATCATCTTTGTAGCCCTACGCTGGACTCTCTCCAGCAGTTCTCTGTCCTTCTTGAACTGAGGGGCCCAGAACTGGACACAATATTCCAGATGTGGTCTCACCAGGGCAGAGTAGAGGGGGAGGAGAACCTCTCTGCCCTACAACCACCCCCCTCCTGATACACCCCAGGATGGCATTGGCCTTCTTGGCCACAAGGGCACAGTGCTGGCCAGAGTGGATCTGGGCTCATCTGGAGGGGCACTGCTGGTAGGTGTGCATACCCACGGCAGTGAGGATGACACCACACCACATTTGCTGGTGTGGTGGTGGGGAGGGAGGTGTGGGAAGAGGGTGAGGAAGAAATGGAAGAGCTTGGCAGGATGGCAGCTGGGTTGACCTGACAGGCATGACCATCCCTGGGCAGTGTGGGTGCGATGAGGTTCCCAAAATGTCTTTGGTCTGCTCAGGAGGAACAAAATCCCTGCAGCAGTTTGTTCTGCTGGGCTGGGGGAAGGGATCTGTTTGAAGCAGCAAGATAATGCAAAGTGGCACTGTTAGAAATACCGAAACCTCCTCCTGTGTATGGGCTCTCGGCAGATTCCTGGAAACAGCCATATGATGAGGCTGCAGGTTGAAGCAGCTGCCAAGATGTTTAATTAGCAGAGACCTGACCCCAGTGGTGGGAGGGCTGAGAATGGTGCTGAGAGTGCAGTGTGGTGTAGTTACACGGGTTGGATTGAAGAGCTCCTTAATGGATTGATCTCATCCAAGTCCATTAGGAACTTGGTGCTCAGTAGAGTCCTAAGGGCTGCAGATGAAGGATTGGAGGAAGCAGATTAGCGATAAGAGGCTGAATAGAGTGGTCATTAAAACGAGTACTCGTTAAAATTCTCATCCAAAAAGACATCCCAGCAGTGGACTGAGGTAGAACCAGCCCTGCGCTGCTCTGGAGAGGAGGATGAGGAGGGTACGTAAATGGAGAACCCTCTGCCAGACAGCAGGGACACATGAGGACAGGCAGACAATGCTGCAGAGTTGCACATCCTCCTGGAGGGAGGAGGAGATGGTGAGGCCAGGCGAGTCTTCATCTTCACTAACATGACAAATCACAGATCAGTGGGAGATTCTCCTGCGTCTGTGCTCAGCTCCTGAAAGCTGCCATCCCTCTGAGGGCTGCTTACCTGGTTTTCTGCTTGGCCATCCACAGCTCCCCAAACTTGGAAGAGCAGACAGAGGCTTGTGTTAAACCAGCACGCTCCTTCCTTCATTACCTTCCTGACAAAGAGCAAGTAAGGAGCAGCAACAAGAAGAATACTTTTTTATTATATGATCGAAGCGCTGAATTGAAGTCCTAATTAGTTCACACCCCAAATATCCCGAAGCAATTCTGTCTCGAATGAAGCAGATGAGATGTTCCTGTTAAACCTGCAGTGATTTTCCCAGACAGGGCTGGAGGGCTGAGGATGTGGAGGGAGGTGGACACTTCTGCACTTGGCAGCCTCGCGTGCTGGCGCTGTGGGGGTGTGACTACGCATCGCTGCTGACACACAGCGTGGGCCTGTGTCTCTGCACAGAGTCACTGCTCTGCTGGTGACGTGAAGGTCTGCCTCCAGGCCACGCAGCCGACTTGTGGCAGTCCAGGACAACTGAGTCTCCTCAGTTTCCAGAGGAGCGGCTGAGGGAACTGGGCTTGTTTAGCCTGGAGAAGAGAAGGGTGAGGGGAGACCTCATCACCACCTACAACTGCCTCAAGGGAGGTTGTAGAGAGGTGGGTGCTGGGCTCTTCTCCCAGGTGATGGGGGATAGAACAAGGGGAAACGGCACCAAGCTGTGCCAAGGGAGGTTCAGGTTAGAGATAAGGAGGAAGTTCTTTACTGAGAGGGTCGTCAGAAGCTGGCACAGGCTGCCCAGGGAGGTGGTGGAGTCACCATCCCTGGATGTGTTTAAAGAGCGGGTAGACGAGGTACTTAGGGATATGGTTTAGTGGGTAGACAGGAGCGGTTGGACGTGATGATCTCGGAGGGCTTTTCCAACCGAGCGATTCTGTGATTCTGTGAGAAGATGCTGTGCAGTAGCAGGGTGTCCTGGCTGGTAGCGGTAATGGCCTTTTCACGCTGAATGGTCATGACTTGTCACTGCACACTGCAGGACAGCTTCATCCCAAAATTGTTAAGGTCTTGGTCTCAGTGCATGGCTTTTCCCTGTTGCTTGAATTCCTCAGTTCCTTCCTCTTCCACCTTGCAGGTCTCCTGCTGCTTGCTGGGACTGCTGCCAAACCCTCGTGTATACCATTCAAGTTCCTGTGCAAATTAGTCTTTACCTCTCTTAATGGTGCCTGGGCTCATCACCTGTAACCAGCCTGGTTCCGTGTGCTGGTCCCCCTCTTACCCTGCTTTCAGGAAACCAGGTAGCTCATACGATACACTTAGGTCCTAGAGGGTTATCCTAATTTGCAGACCACAGCAGCTGCTGGGGCAGGTTAACTGCTGCCTGACTGCTCCCCTCTCTTCTCTCTTTCTCAAAGGAGGGCAGAAGTGCAGGAAAGACAACTGAAGAGTGAAGCCTTCATGGCAAGGGTTGTGTGTGAGGTGGAAGTGGTGGGAATAAAGTTGGAAGCAATCTGAGGAAGGAGTATGGGCAGTAAAATTTGCTGAGTTAGTCTGCATCGTAGCTACAACTTTTAGAGCTGCTGTGAGCGGTGGTTGAGCTCCGCTGTTCGGAAGAAAGCTGAACCAGAGCAGCCCTGTCCCCTTACTGCATCATTTGCCCTGCCCAGGGCAGGCCAGCAGCCCGTGGTGTCCTGCAAACACCCTCTGGTTTGCTGCGAAGAGAAGTGGGGAAGTTTGTGATGTCCGTGTGTGCTAAGAGGTTACAACTGTGTGATCTAGGAGCGGCGTGGGTACAAAGTCCCATGGCTTTGGAAGCATCGACTTGCCTGGGTCAGCCTTAGGTTTCTAAATGCAATAAGGAAAAAGGAGCGTAGCTTTGCTGGAATGAGGTTTGTTGGGTTCCTCAACATCCTCGGAGACAGCTAATGCTCCAGCAGGATGGTGGCAGCTTGGATTTAAAGACTTTCTGACCGTGCACCAGTTCTGGCACCTTTTCTGATTCATCCGTCGCATAAGCTGTGCAAGGAAAGGAGGCAGGTAGAGGCCCCAAAAGTACGAGAGCTGAAATAATGTCTCAAAGTTGCTGGTGTTTTGCTGCCAGCTCTTGACTGAATGAGGTCAACTGCCAGTCCTGAGACAAAGATGAGAGGAAACAGGCACCCAAACAAGAGCTCGCTGTCAGGACCGCACTAACCACTGGTTTTGCTGTCGTGCAGAATCTGAGTGCGGGGCTGCCCTCGGGACAGATCTGCCACGACGAGCAGCGGCTGGAGGTGATCTTTGCAGATCTGGCCAGGCACAAGGACGATGCTCAACAGCGCAGCTGGGCGCTCTACGAGGATGAGAATGTCATCTGCTGCTACCTGGAGGAGCTGCTTCGCATCCTGGTCAGTACATTTCTCTCTTTGCAGGCAGAGCAGAGCAGACAGCCCTGGTGAAGTTCCTTATTTTTCTGACCTCCTTCAGCCCAGTGTTTCCGCTGGATCGGCTGTTTCGGAGGGCGTGGGTTTCTTGTGCATGCTTTACCGTCGATGTGAAGCCCTGCTCCTGTGTGGGGTCCGCAGTGCTCTTGAGCTGCCTTCCCCTCCCCCTTACAAAGCTGTTCTGAAAAGAGTTACAGAGCTGTTCTTCATGGTAGCTGTGGTATTTACCTATTGCAGGAGAATATAAACCCTCATCTCCAAAAGAACTTAGCACCCCACAGAAAACCTGCAAGTCTGCACTCCTAGGACCATTTAAAACATCCTCGGGCTGGGAAGTACCTGTGGGGTGAGGCCCATTAAATGCAAAGAAAATTCTTTGATTGCCCTAAAAGTGAACTTTAAAGCTACGTTTTGTGAGAAAGTATAAAGTACCTCACCACACCCGTGCGTACAGGAGAGGTACGTCCCAGTCGTGAGCAGCAGTGGGAAATACTGTCCCAGTGCTGCCACTAGCACGTACAAGTCCATCTGTGTGTGGGGATGTGATGGGAGCTGCTGCTCAGTGCAGTGACATGGGCTGTGTTGCTCTGTCGCCTGTTTTGTATTCCTCTCCAGTTCTGACATAAGCAGAATGGATTATTTTTGTGTGTAATAAATGCCAGTGTCTCTGTCACTCAACATCCAGCCTGTGCCACCTCACGGTGGGCCTGCAGAGCAAGGCAGAGGGGGGTGTTTTGACACCGTTTCCTTGTAATTTAGGGGTGGGAGGACGAGTACAATACTTCTTAGGATGGGAGCAGTGCTGGAGCTGCCCTGTTTAACTGCATGGTGCACTCATCAAGTTGCTGCTCAGGTCATGGGTTTTTCAGATGTTTTCAGCCCAAGACACACTGCGTGGCAGAGACGTTTCTCAAGAACTCACTTGGATGCAGAATCTGCAGGGTGGCAGTTCTTGAGCCGTCCTTGTGCTCTGCTTGCAGTTTCTCTGTGAGGTGGTTGGGCCTGGGGCTGCTGAGGTCTGGGAGCAGCTGCCCACCTCAAGGTCCCTGCAGAGGCACCTTGCTGCTGTGATGTGCCCCTGGGC